CATTCAAGTCAGGTAATACGTTAACGCCACTTAACTCCTGTCGATATTTTCTGACCTGCTAATAATGAATTTAAAAAGACCTTAACTTCCGTCCTAATAACAAGGCCAAAAAAAATGTAAAAATTTATTTTGTTTAAGAATATATTTAACGACACTTTTTGGTACTCAACTCAGCTGCTTGTTATTGCTATATTTATACCCATATACATCTACCTGCCCGCAGTAGTAGTTGGCTAATTGTATTCAGTGACCAATTGATATTGTCCGTATCATAAAAATATTTACAAGCGTAGAATGATCCAACTTCTGTTTTTTTGTTTCCATTTAAAAGAATTGTTTGTGGAACAAACTTAAATAAATACCTTATTTTATCTAGTAATTTGAATCATTATTTTCTTGAATTAATGTAACCTTCATGAGATACTCAATTTGAAATTCTACCGTTCGCTGAAATGTAAAAGACAAAATGGGAAAATGTTTGGTGTCGGAAAACAAGTTGTAATTTCTTTGGGTATGGAGATTTTAAATTTTATTTAAATGTTTCTAGCAAACTATTAGATGAACAGGATAGATAAATTTTTTATATCATTATTCAGTAGGAGTTCCGCTTTCATTTTCTAGATATACAATGCCTTCGCAAAAGTGAAAGCTTCCTTAAGGCACTCCGAATTAACTAGAGATGTGCAAAATATTTTTTTAAACGTATTTGAATACTAAATGCAAATACTTTTTTGATTTGTTATTTCAAATGTAAAATACAAAATAGATTTCCCTTTTACTTTTTTGCAGTACCTATTTAATTTTCTAAATTCATTTAACTACAAAGTACTTTTTAAAAATACCTTACAGGTATTTTATCATCTTTTAAATATTGAAGTATTTGAGATATAGGTTTTCTATTTTTATGTTATAGTTTCTCCAGTTCAGTAACATATAATTCTTCTATATGCTTCCTTATTTGCCTTTGTCACCTGTTTTAATTGGAAAAAAGACACTGATGCCAAAGTATAGGGTTGTTGGGAAAGTTATTTCGTTGTTTTTTTTGTGGAAATGAAAGACAGTTTTCGTATAATAAACCAATACTTTATTAAATTATATATTGACCGTTCTGGGCCAACACCTTTTGCCATCTTTCTGGTAGTAGCATAATTCCACGCTCATAAAATTTTTGGTCTTTGCTNATTATTGCCTAATTAAAAGATTTCGATAGGATAATAATTTTTTTAAGGAGAGGTAGACCTAGATTAGATTAAATAGTTAGCTCTAGTTTTAGAGAAATGCGAAGATTAGCTCAGGATAGGAAAGAGTGGAGGTGCGTGTCGAACCAGTCTTAGGACTGACACCTGATGATGATGATGATGATGATGATGATTCTCCAAATATTGAAAAATTTTTTCTATAATCATGAGAAAGAAAAATTGGATGGAATATATGTATTGGTGGTAAATTCTATTCTAATTTCTATATTTTTTATTAGGTATTTATTTTTTATTCACAGCTTCAAGTAGGCTAAATGTATTTCTACAAGAGCGTGATCTATTGAAATTTGTGTCTTATTTTTTTTTAAAATACTGGAAAAAATAAATTGCAAAGGAATCTGTACAGGTATGAAGCGTATCTTTACAGGTATTTGACTAACTAACAAGTATGTTGTTAGTAGAAGGAATGTACGCTAGGTGGTAGTGCGCGTATAATTAAATTGGAGTCGGGAAAAACTTCCTGTGAAAGCTTTTCCAGTCGGTTAGCATTATCCGAAAATCAATTGTTTGTGGGTAGGTAGAAATAGTTGAAACTTTTAAATTTTATTTTCAACATACCCACGTTGCACGCCTAAATTGTTTAGAAATTGACATGAGTGAATGCCGCATTTTTTCACTTGTGCTTCCGCTAAGTATACATTTTTGCGAACAATTTTTTTTCACAAAATTAATCACTAAATAGAAGATATACCAAGAGTAGATAAAAACGTTATATACTACGTAGAAGCTTATGGAATTAAATACACTTTGATTAAAAGGATAAGGCTTTCACGGCCAGCATTACCGAATATTGAGCATTACTTAACGGTGTACCTTTAACTCCCATTCAAGTCAGGTAATACGTTAACGCCACTTAACTCCTGTCGATATTTTCTGACCTGCTAATAATGAATTTAAAAAGACCTTAACTTCCGTCCTAATAACAAGGCCAAAAAAAATGTAAAAATTTATTTTGTTTAAGAATATATTTAACGACACTTTTTGGTACTCAACTCAGCTGCTTGTTATTGCTATATTTATACCCATATACATCTACCTGCCCGCAGTAGTAGTTGGCTAATTGTATTCAGTGACCAATTGATATTGTCCGTATCATAAAAATATTTACAAGCGTAGAATGATCCAACTTCTGTTTTTTTGTTTCCATTTAAAAGAATTGTTTGTGGAACAAACTTAAATAAATACCTTATTTTATCTAGTAATTTGAATCATTATTTTCTTGAATTAATGTAACCTTCATGAGATACTCAATTTGAAATTCTACCGTTCGCTGAAATGTAAAAGACAAAATGGGAAAATGTTTGGTGTCGGAAAACAAGTTGTAATTTCTTTGGGTATGGAGATTTTAAATTTTATTTAAATGTTTCTAGCAAACTATTAGATGAACAGGATAGATAAATTTTTTATATCATTATTCAGTAGGAGTTCCGCTTTCATTTTCTAGATATACAATGCCTTCGCAAAAGTGAAAGCTTCCTTAAGGCACTCCGAATTAACTAGAGATGTGCAAAATATTTTTTTAAACGTATTTGAATACTAAATGCAAATACTTTTTTGATTTGTTATTTCAAATGTAAAATACAAAATAGATTTCCCTTTTACTTTTTTGCAGTACCTATTTAATTTTCTAAATTCATTTAACTACAAAGTACTTTTTAAAAATACCTTACAGGTATTTTATCATCTTTTAAATATTGAAGTATTTGAGATATAGGTTTTCTATTTTTATGTTATAGTTTCTCCAGTTCAGTAACATATAATTCTTCTATATGCTTCCTTATTTGCCTTTGTCACCTGTTTTAATTGGAAAAAAGACACTGATGCCAAAGTATAGGGTTGTTGGGAAAGTTATTTCGTTGTTTTTTTTGTGGAAATGAAAGACAGTTTTCGTATAATAAACCAATACTTTATTAAATTATATATTGACCGTTCTGGGCCAACACCTTTTGCCATCTTTCTGGTAGTAGCATAATTCCACGCTCATAAAATTTTTGGTCTTTGCTGGCAAAAAACTGATCGAGGAGGTTTTTGACCTCCTCATTTGAGGTGAAGGTTTTACCGTCTAAAAAATTTTGGAGTGACCGGAACAAATAATAATCCGATGGTGCCAGGTCTGGAGAATATGGTGGGTGTAGCATTGTATCCCATTCAAGCTGTAAAAGCTTTTTATAGGATTAGCACACCACAATATTTTGGAGTTTTCAGTTTTACCGAGCTGGCGTATATCAATTCGATTTTATTTTGCGGGCTCTTTTGTCGTACTTCAAAAAAATTCGTACTTCCTTTCTAAAGGTACCACAAGTGGTAATTTGGCAAGTACTGATATCTATTCGGAACTTCAAAATTCCAGGACCATGACATTGAATCTGGAAAATAATATCCATCCAATATGTTGACGCCTGGTTTGACGAACGTGTTTTATGATTACAACTCACGTTAGTTTTTTAATGTGCTGTTTATTCAAACTTGACACTTTAATAAAAACCTAACGCTAAAGAATATTAATATTACTTAACTATTATTTTACGAAACGGCTTGTAATATGTTTGACTAGTTCTGCTGATTGTCACACTTGTGATTGTCGCTGGTGATTGTCACTGATGATTGTCACGCTGGATTGTCACTTGATTGTTACTTGATTCTGTTGTTACTTATTCACTTCGTTTGTTACTTATTCTGTTGTTACTTATTCACCCTCATGAATATGATGATTGGGCTTTTATCCTTTTTTCGGATATTAACAAGAATTGGATTAAGAGGGAGAGTAGGCAGAGTTAGTAAAGTTTAGAAACATTAATTGGATTAGGAATAGAAGAAACAGGGTGGTTGGTCCAAGATAAGAAAGTGGGGTATAAGGGGTGCGGTTTGATAAGAAGAGAAAGGGAGAGATCGGTGTACGTGCATGTGTCCAGCGTGCAACAATTCTTGGTATTGATCGATTGTATCGATCATTGTACTCTAACGAAAACATTAATAAATTTTACAACTGCAAATAAAGATAAGGAATACGAAGTATTTGAAATACAAAGATGTTGGGATAAACCTCTAATGACATCATTAAAAATTAATATACAATGGAAAAGGTACCTATAGTAAACTAATTGTTTGCAAAGTAAACGAAATAAGATAGTCATAAACATCATTTAAAGTAAAAGTAACTTATTTTAAATAGCTACGAATCCCAATTACAAAATTACAACTGAAAGCTGTAACGAAACAATTGATACAGAACGTTGACACTCAACACAATATTTTAGATTATCCATTTCCAAGGAGTTTGGGCTCTCTTCAGTTAAAGAATTAAAAGACATTCAAGAAATGTCTCTTTGTCCCCTTTTTTGACTTCTAATACCTTCAATGGCCAATGTGGGCAACTTTCAATCATCATTTTATATAATGTTTGATCGGGGATACTAGCAAAATTTTTAATGGCAAAAATCTTACAAATAGAAAATACGTTTGGAAAAGTAATTTAAACAAAATACAAAATGCTTTTCTCAAAAAATTGCAAAATAAAAATAGTTATTGTTTCTTTTGTATTTGCATTTTAAATGGAAGTATTTCAAATAAATCGCATCTCCGAAATTCACTAAAGTGTTTTCGTTGCATTTTTGTTGTTCATGTCAGCCGGCATCATCAGTGCTTTACCATCGGTACTTTATCATAGCCGAATAGAAAATCACGCGAGCGTAATAACAAAATGAAAACTCACTTCAAATATACAGGTTTAATTATAGGGAATTGAAGGAATAATAATTCAGTAAAATTTTTAATAATACAGTAATGAATACTTCCCCTTCTTAATTTCACTTACATAAGTGTATATAAAGAAAATAAATAATTTACAGATCTGCTAATCTGATAATCTAAAATCTAAAATTTAAACGTTATCCATTAAATGTCGTGGTCGTTGATGATAGAATAAGCAACATTCTGAATTGGCATCATGTCGTACTGGACGTCGTCTGGCATCACTCTTCTCCAGTTGTTACTATTGTAGAATGGCGGTTGATGAAATTCAAACGGCCTTGATGCATAAGTGGAAGAATAAGACGAAAATCTTTTCAAAACAATTCCTACTGTTAACACGAGCGCCATTTTAGCTAGAACTAAAGCTTTCACTGCCATTAGCGAGATAAATTTGATGAAAAAGGCCCCTATTGCTATTACTTTAGCTGTAATAAGAAAAAGATATGGAATCATACCCTTCTTTTTGCTCTTGCGACCTAAAAAATATAAATGTATTTAGGAAACATCAAACGAAAGTATATAGTTTCAAAGAAGAAAGAAAAAAAAAAACTGCTAAGCGTATTAAGTACCAACGACAGAAATGACAACTGAACTAAGACAAATCTATTCCAGAACAGCGATTAGTTTATTTAGAAGCAGAAAAGCTTATTTTATTTTATTATGAAAAAATAATAAATTGAGTAGTACTAGCAATAGGTGTTAAAAATGCAAGTTTGGCACAAATTGAATACTTCCAAAGAAACGACAGTTAAATCGTAAAATGTTTTGCCATTAGGTCACTTCAAATGTTTTTTTGAAAAAAAAAAACAGAAGATTTTTATATAAAAATC